GTGCTTTCAGCACTCACAACTGGGACAAGCCAGGCGAGGTCTGTTTAGGGTTTAGGGTTTCCTTGCAAGTCGATTTGAAGATCCTCTGAGGGCTTCGATAAGGGAACCGGTAAGGGTTCACTTATTCAATGCTTCTTGTGTATATTCGTGAGATTAGGGGTATTTCATTTCATTCAGCAGAATTCAAGTGAAACTAGTTGTCTGGGCTGCACAAACCTTTCTCTGTTGCGCGGAACCCCCCCGACAACAGCCAAGTAGTGGCCGGCTAGCTGCACGAGAGGCTTCGAGGACAACACGTGAACTAGCAGATTGCTGTACAAAAAGCACAATTGTATCAAATGCTGCTTCTACATAGGCCGTCTGTCGCCCAGCGGCAGCGAGCGGTGCCGAAACGCACATTTTTAGTCCGTGTGACGGAAAGCACCCCACCCGACCGTTCGACACTCCGCGTAGGAAGGGAGCTTGGCCAGGCTTATGCGGCGGGTGAATGCGACTACTGGACCGAGGAGGTTTTCACAGCGATCTATCTGTGCCGCGGCGGACGCGTTCCGTGCGACTCCCTGGCCTACACACGATATTGCGGCTAAGGTTGCAACGTTGAAAGAGTTCACAGCCACGGTCGATAATATTGACTGGGGAGTTTTGAGTCGGGGCCTTGACAAGGGCCACGGGACGCCTGATGTGACTCCGTTCCACCTGGACGACACCTGGGAAACTGCTTGGGGTCGTCCCAAGGTGATGTAGCAGTCGCGACCGAGTCTTACTCGCCGATTGTGCCCTCAAAACTCAGGCAGGCCTGGGATCAGGGGATCCAGGGACAGCCTGAAAGCTTTTGGAGGCACCCTTTGTCACTGCCTTTTGTGCAGTGGCGTTCCGGTGCTGCAAGTCATTAGGCTGCGCACAGACCACTGTATGCCCGCAGAGCAAATAGCAATATGTACATAGGCTTTTTTAACTCATATGCCTGTGCTACAAAATGTCATATGGATTTATGCTGTAAGAAAAAGAAACCAGGAAAAAGGAAACTGCAGCCGGCGCAGGGGGCATGTTCAAAAGCCAGGGAAGGGACATCGCTGGCGCTGCAGGGCGAGTTGGTGCTGCAGCTCCTCAATGCAGGAATGATGCTCCGTACTGTCTAAGTCTCAACTAGGTGAGGCGGGCTCAGGAAGCGTGTACGAGCTTAAGATTCGCACGGGCAAGTGTGCCTCCGGCCTAGGAGTGCGCAGAACCCGCAAAAGGGTGCCAGCAAGTGGCTTAAGACAGCCTCTCGGGCAGTCGTACTGGTGGGGTTGCATTTCTGCCTAGCACAGAATTGTGGAAGATTTGTGGTTTTTGCCTGTGGGTTCACATGCCCTCTCCCTGCATGAGATGACAAGTAAGCACTGCAAGCGTTTACATCCTCTTGTCCTAAAGTTAGCGGTCACGAGAACATGAACGAAGCAAGCCTTCCGACAGCGCGCTTGGCGACGTTGCTCCTGGACTCAAAGCTTTGGTCTGCGACTGCAGGCGGCAAGCATCTATACAAGACGGAGGGGCGATGTTTGGATCGGACCTGCTGCGTAGGGAAGAACTTGCAAGCCCGCGCTTGTGCACTAGCTGCGTAGGCAAAGCTAACCCCGTCCTCGAGAGCTTGCGCCTTGTACCAAGGGCCCAAGTTCCCCTTTAGGGGGTCTTTGTTTGGGCAGGGCTGTGCAGACCAAGCACACCCCCTTAGTTTAGAAGCAGCTTGCTGCTGCAATTCGTAGGTTTCCGTTCCCATGCCTTTCCCTTTCGTCAATTGTTTAACACGGTTTCAGGCAGGAATGGGACTGCACGTCTGCACGTCCGCTCAAGACTTCTCCCGCAATTTCCTGAAGCAGTGCTCACACCGAAAGTAAGTCAAGCGAATACATGCGCACGCACGCACACGCGCACGCGCACACCCACACACACAGCCACACACCACACACACCAAATCGATCACAAGCCTGACTCGATACATCCCCAGCCGCAGCAGATGCTTTCTGCTTCCCCCGCCAAACTATGCGGCTTGTGTTTGTGTAAAACATGCAGTGTCCAAAATTTCTCAATGTCATTTGTTGGACGTGGTGCAGCTCCTCAGACCTTGTCAAGAGACACAAGAGTACTATCTAACCCAGACTACTGACAACTTTTCATAAAACAACAACGCCCATTGCTCCTGTACTATTATTGCAAGCCCGAGGAACCCTCTCAATCCTGATTAAGACTGGAGACACTGTCGTACTTCTGGGGTAAAGGAGCTCCCCTGCTTCTTGTGAAGGGACAGAGATCAATGAGAGTGATTTGCTTAAGGGAAATTAAGACCTGGAAGAACTTCAAGATTTCATCTCTTGAATGAGAGGGGCTCTCTTCTTTCTGAGTACTACTGAGAACCGATCGGTAGACCTGCAACATGGAAGTAAAAATAGAACCTGTTTTACCTGCTTTGGGTTTCAGGTGACTGTTGCGTGTCATATCAGTACAAGAGAAACAAGCATAACATTGTAAACGCCAATGCTTTTTAGTTGGCAGAAGAGTTGGAAAGATTGATTGTGCTAGCACCCACATATAATATGTCATGTCATCAGAATCATAATGAATATACAGCTTTTCGCCACCATAAATGAATGGTAGGACGCTTATGCCGATGCGAGCTCTCGGTCGTAGCAATGTTACTAGACGAATGACAGAGCTGCCGGCCAAACGACAGATCGAATACTCCGGTTCTCACTGCATCTACATCTCCTGCACGTGAGAGCTTCAGAAGAGGGATCCCTGTGAAGGGGTCCTGACAAATAGTGGGGTCTGTATGTATTTAATCGGTCTGAATCCCAAATAGAGCAATATGCTCAAAAGACTGATGCTGATTGCGATACTTGGTGAAAGGTACACTTACAACTGCCCAGACCGGTCAGAGTTGAAGATCATCCCCTGCAGTGGGCCCTGCATATTTGCGCGTGAAAGTCGCGAGATTGGCTCAGGCTGCCCATAATCCCATGGCATCAAGAGCAGAGTGAAACCTCCTGGAGAACCTCGGTCCTGAACAACTCAATCTCGCCCGGTTAATCCTAGACACATCGGGTGAGAAAGGGTTCAGAACACGAAGTCCGCTGGCCCACTGCATTCTGATCAGTGCTTGCGGATCCCGGCGCCGATCCAACGACATCTGTGCAGTCGTGTGAAATTCTCGGGTGCTCCTTTTCAGCCCGATTCGGTCGAGGTGTGTGTCTGTGTATCTCAACTGGTTGGACAGGTCCAAACTAGGAACAAACCTTAACCTTCAGACATTTACGTCCTAGAGTCAAATTCGAAGACCCTGCCGCAAGGCACCGCAAGAATAGGATCCGATCATCCTGCACGATGGACCATCAAAAGATCAGGCGGGCGCCCGCCTTTCCTAGCTACTTGTAGCTGCACTTAAAGAGTTAGAGAAACCCAGCAAGGTTCCGGCAAAATGCCCGGAGACCGGGATGCCTTGCCGGGATGTTAAGATTCTACACTACACGGCAGCTGCTAAGCCTGCTTAGCACTGGAACCAATGTGCAGGTGCCACACAGCCGCGGCCTGTCTGGGTTGGGATTCGATACGGACACATCCCCTTCGACTTTATGAACGAAAGCCACGAAGGCACGTCCCCTTCCGCCTCTGGAGGTCTCAAGTCGAGTCGGGGTTGCGTAGAATTGACATTGCAAGAAACCGCCCCACCGAGACTGCGGAACTTTATTTACAGAAGCCTCGGATGCGCGCATTTCAGGCTTCACTCTCGGGAGAAAGCCGAGGGTGCCCATGACGATGATCACGATGATGATGATGACGATGATGATGATGATGATCATGATGATAATGATCATGATGATGAGCCCCATGGTTTCTGCACAACAAATTCCAGAAGTATAGTTATAATATCCAACAAGAACAACCTAAAGCTGCACCTCCTTGGCCTTGGCAGCTAGCCGCGAAGTCGGTGGGCAAGACAACCAGTGAGGCAACCGAGCGCAAACGCCAGCCTCAGCTCGCAAAAAGCAGCAGTGGTAACAGTAGTCGTGTTCGAGCTGCTAGCAGCAGTATTGCAACAGCAGCAATGATAGTGCAACAGCAGCCGCAGCAGTAGCAACAGCGGGAGCAGGAGCAGGAGCAGGAGCAGTCGGAGATACTAGTCGCAGTCGTCCGTCTCGTACAGAACCTCTGTTCAGCCTTCCTGTCCAGGCGGCGCCATCCACTCTCCCAACCGCCGAAAGGGTGCCCACGGAGCATCAGCGCGAAAACAAACCTCGGACAAGGACCCAAAGAGCAAGGAGGTTGAAACTGTTGATGACCTTTGGACATAACGCAGGGCACGACATCGTCGCTGTGTGTCTGTACGGAGGTAGGCCATGCATGTAGCAGCACAGGTGGTTTGCGAGACCAATACATGCGACTGGTTCGCTTCTTCCTGCGTGGCTTTGGCTACTGGCACCGCCTGCAAGTTTTTGTCTTCTTTCAGAAACATCATACTCATGCTGTAACCATCCTTGCCGAGATCGCGATCATGGTGTTGATGATGCCTGTCATCGGCATCATCACCATATTAGCTGCAACATCGGCTCTCTCTGCATCAGCACTAGCAGCTAGTCACTAGCATTGGCATAAACTTTCGTGAACATCACCACAACCGAAATGAAGAACCGTCATCGGGAGAGCAGCACAAGAAAGGCACGGTCACCCTGATTCCAGCAAGGACAATGTAACCATATGCTGGCCGATGTACAGCTGTCCCACTCTCTTCGTCAGAACCGGGGTCGTCGTCAAGGTTGAAGATGAAGGCAGCCTCCACTCTGCAAGGAAAACATTGCCCCAAATCGATGTTCCTTGGAGTCTTGGGTCAGGGGAGACCTGTCGTGCCGCTTGCTCTGCTCGTCTTACTACTCATGGGCAGCCCGGACGTGCAAACTCAGCTCTCCAACGCAGCTGTAGCTGTGAAGTTTCAATTTCAAGCTTCCTTTGATATCTGGAATGAAAATTCGGTCTGCTACAGCAGGCACGAGGCCGTGGCGCCTCATCCAGGCTGGAAGATGTGTCCGCGAAGAACTTGATGTCCGCTGCCTGGCATCGGCAGTTGTTCAGGCCCATGATTTGAAACTTCGCCCAAGAACACTATCAGATACTATCAGTATCACTACGACGACTACCACTACCGCGGCGACTGCGATTACCACTTCTGCTCCTCCTGCGAACTATTGCCGCAACTGCTACTGCTGCTGCTGCTGCTGCTGCTGCTCCTGCGGCTACTGCTATACTGGTACTACCACTGCTAGCTGCTGCTGCTGCGGCTGCTACTACTACTACTACTACTGCTGCTGCACCTGCACCTGCACCTGCACCTGCACCTGCACCTGCACCTGCACCTGCACCTGCACCTGCACCTGCAACTGCGACGACGAGACGACTACAAACAACAAACTGCTAATTCCTCCTACTTCCTACACTTGCTAGCACCTGCGCTACCTTCTACTACCGACTACTACTACTACTGCCTGCTGCGATTGCCGCTGATGTTAGCGACCACCACGACTACGACGACGACGACCACGACGACAATCACCGACGACTAGAGATACTGTTGCTGATGTTTAATCACTTCTCCTGCACTCTTCAGCTGCTCAAGTTGGACCTGAGAGTTTCGTGACCCCAAACCCTAGCTCTGGTCTTTTTGTGGCCCTAGTCAGTCCCTGTCTCAAACACAAAGCCACCTCTTCGAAGGTCACAGAGTGGCTGGAACTGGACCGCTCCCTGCTAACGTGGCTCGTTTCCTTGGCGGCGCTCATAGGCTCGTGGAAATTTCCAGTCTGGCTTGCCCCAAACCCTGGGGTTGTCGATTGTTCACGGTGCCGGTTTTAGCATACTGTCCAGCTGCTTTCGTTTTGAAAAGCTCGCGTTTGGAACATGGAGCACCCTGGCCCTGGTTGAAGCCCAGTCTCCGTACCGGCATGCGACACTGACATCGATGCTACCGATGCCCTTGCAAGAGATGCGGCCGCCTGCCCGCACATCGTGTAAAATCAGAGATTGCAGGGCTCATTGCACAGTACAGCTCATTATACAGAAGAACTATAAACTAAGGGTTACAGGCACAGGGAAAGACTGGGACAGATCTCAGGGTGAATGGAGCGAGCTGCACTAGGAGGTGGCACAGCCTCGCCACGTTGGGCTAGGACTCACAGCCTGTTGGCTCTTCTAACGGCTCAGAACAGAGTCGCGCACGATGCCGACCCCATAAACCAAGAAGCAGCGGCCCTGACCCGACGGGGAATGCGCTTTGCGGCTTTCCACTCGCACTCGGTCAAGGCAAGCGAAGTCTTAGGGTCTGACGGCGCGAGGCTATGCCGCCAGACATGTGGAAGATAATCCCTTGCGCTTCCCCAGAGCCCCAGTCAGCAGGTTCCCAGGCCCAATCCTTGCGCGAGAATCACGCCTAATCCAAAAAACATACAATATGTAATCTACAGATAACATTAGCGTGCTATATAAAGCTTTGCTACAGTATGTATACCCGACTGTCTGCTCTCTGCTTCAGCCCACAAGGCCTCTGACGTGAGGGAGTCTCTCTTCGAGTGTCGTCTCTCGATGGTGACATCCGAAGACTTTTCGGAGTCGTGCTTTTGGAGCCTCCAGGAACTACGGAAGGGTTTAGGGTTTGGGGGCCCTACCGCCGCTGCAACCCTCGACCAGGACCCGAGGATGCAACAGAGGGCTGTCTTTTGAGAATTCACTCCAAGAAGTTACGGGCGCGGCAACAGTACAAGATAAGGCTAAGGAAAGGCTCTATGGGGCGACGGATTTACGGAGTTGGGATTTTAGCAAGAACACTTTAGCAATTATTGCCGCACGGGACTTCCGGGTTCGAGTTGCTTGGCTGGTACCCTCACCCTCACCTTCTGCCACCCATAACCACCATCAGCATCGTTGATAATCTGCCTAAGCATATCTAAGCATGACATATCAGCGTCAGCGTCGTCATGTCTGTCACAATCACAATCTCAGGCAGCAGCAGGAGCAGCAGCAGCACAAGCTTGACCATCATCATGTCTCCATCGCCAGCTGTCCCGTCGGGAAAATCTCTTCGAAATTCTGCCGCAATGGCACACTGCTCTACAAAACTCGCGTTCGCAAACGGTGCATGCCAACAGGCAGACCGAGAAGCAAGATCTGCGAATCTCTGCGTGAATCCTGCATGGCTGCATCGTAGGCGCTGATGTCACCGAATATTGCAGACGCTGCTTGAGGAGCCCTCTTACGAAGTGGCTGCGATGATGCAATGCTATGCAAAATAGAAACATATAGAGAGAGAGAGAGAGATACAGATATAGATATTTCATACCTGTATAAATATATGTGTGAGTGTGTGTGTGTGATATGTGTATATACATGCACATACGAATACACATGCACGGAGAGAGAGAGAGAGAGATTCGTGTGTGTGTGTGTATGTGTGCATACATACCTATGTACACAGACAGGTACGACTACGACCAGTCAATCGACGCGACGATGACACGTATTTGCACTTCTTTCCCCCCAAACGCCCCAAAGCCGTCCTTGCGGGAATACTTGTGGTTCCTGCGTTTCCGGCTCCGGGTCGTGTGCGCCGGGGTGAGGATGTCCTTTTTTCCGCGGAAAAATCTCACCCTTGGTCCACTTGACATCGTGTTGTGAAGGGAAGAAGTCTGGGAGACACTTTGAAGACTTCAGACGCTGCTCCCTGTGACTAGACTAAACCTGTTGTAATACACTTTTTCTGATAAAGACTTAAGCCCACTACCCTCTCTGGAACTGTGTATGAGAACCTCTACGTCTGAGCACAGTTGCAGAACCTCTCAAGCCCGAATTTGAGATACAAGTGTCGGAGGTCCGATAAGGCATAGCGACATAGTGTGGGAATGTATGTGTGTTGCATGCATTACCGTCTCCTCGGACTCCTCCTGCGCGCTGACGTCTGCCTTGGCATTGCGCAGGCAGGATTTCCCTATTCTATCTAAGGTGAAGACGATCGGAAAAGCACGAACACGACAACAATAATGACACTCTTCCAACGGTATTGATAGGCGCCTCCAGCCGCGCAACACCCACGCCCCCAGCCCAAGCTGGATGCTCTTCACTCACGACGAAGATGTGAGGCAGCAAAGGTGATTTGTACCCAGTCATGGCTCGGAGCCCTGACAACATTCGGTCACAGTTGCCACTGGTTCAACGCCGAAGAAAAGATGCGAGGGTCCAAAAAAATGACCCCCCGAACAAGGACAGCGGCTATGGGGAGCCAACAGACTTGCCTCTTGGATGTGTGGTGGCCACGGAGGAACCAGTTTGAGCACGACCAATCCACAAAGGCCACACCGCTGACAGCGGGGGAACACGAAACATGCAGGAAGGGCCACAACCCTGAGTCCTGTATCCGAGCCTCATGTCATTTGCACGCCGACATGTTTCTGGTTCACGGGTTCGGGGCACCCGGTGCTTTGCTGCAAGCGCTTGAAATCATTCTGCGCAGCCTCTGCTGCCGGTATACCCAAGCAAAAACAAGGCTTGTGCGATGTCCCGATTTATATTTCCTTCTTTGGGCCCCAAAGGAGTGTAGGGCAGCGAGGACATAACACAAGCATGCACACAAAGCGTGGCGTAGCAAATCGAGTACACTAAATCGGCTGCATCACTTCAGGAACCTATACACGGGGTCTCAGGGCTTTATTCTGCTCGTGGGGCCTCAGTGAAACAAGCCAGGCTATCATGAGATTGGTAGTTAGGGGCCCACTAGCCGAGCCCAGGCAGTGGCCTCTGCTTCCGTCTTCCAGGTGTTGCAACAAACAACCAAAGCTTCATGCGCTAGACAGCATTCGCTTTGTCTCTCGCGCTCTCTCTCTCTCTCTCTCTCTCTTTCTTTCGGCAGGGTTAGGGGCAGAGAGGTTTCCCCCCTCTGCCCGCGCGCCGTTGGCGCCCCCGACTGTTGCGGAGGGACTTGACTGCAAAAACCTGCACCACCAAGGCAAGTTTTGCCACGTCTCTCTCTCTCTCTCTCTCTGTTCTTGGGGAAAGGAAGTTGGTGCATCCAGGTGCGCGAAGCTGTCCACTCTTGCACTTGTTGTCGGAGTTATGTCCTTCTGGGGTGTGGGGCCTCTCTCTCTCTGACTCTCTCGCCCCCTCCGCAGGCTTACAGGCAAGTGCGCTGCTCCTACATCCAGGAGGCCCGTTTGTTCCGGGAACCTACTCTTCGCTAGACCGCGACGCAACGTACAACTACAAGAGATTCCGTTACACAACTAACTCTCTGGCAGCGGGGGTCCCCGAATGTCGAGCAATGTTCGATCACAGGTTTGCATGCAGGGCTCCCTGCCGGGCTGGCCGCCTCTTCGGCTAACCCTCTCTCTCTCTCGTCTCTCCTTCTCTTCCTTGCTTCCCTCCTTCAAAGAGTCTCTCTTTATTTCTTTCGCAGGGCCAGGGCGTCTCTCTTTGTCTGTCTCTCTGCCTCTCTCTCTCGCCCTCTCTCTCTCTCATGTCTGGACCTTGGCAACTGCTTACAACCTCAACGCCATAAGCATAAAACTCATGTGCAGCAGGCTACCTTGGCCCCTAGGAGCAGGCCCACCACTGTGGAGTGGCCGTTCATCAGCGCCAAGGCGAGCGGCGTGCGCGTGAACATGTCCTGGGAATAACCCAGCTCTTTGGCAATTTGGGCTTCACACTCCTTCGTCCTTTTGCGGTCACCCATACTTCTGCGACGACAGCAAGTATGACTTCTACAAACTTCTATCAGTGCGAGTATCACCACTGCCACTGTTGCTCCTTCTACCTCAAAGCACCACAAACCTAAGCCTTAACGACTCGAACGGGGGTCCTCGGTGGTGATGTCGACCTCGGCATTTCCAGCCTTGGCGCACTGCGGTGCATCCTCTTACCACCAATCCTTTCACAAGACTGTTCGCAGCAAGGGTAGCAGCAGAAATAGCAGTAGAGCAGCAGAAGTAGCAGCAGTGCTTCTGGTAGTGGTAGTGATAGCCGTCGTGGTAATGGAATTGGCAGTGGCAAACGCAGTGGCAGCGCCAGTGGCCGTTGTAGTCGTCGTCGCTGTCGTTGCGATATTCTAAACGCCTAAACTAAAAGTTAAAACCACCGAAATCCAGCCCCAAACCCTTAAACACCAAACCTTCAACAACTTTAACTCCCAAACCCAAAACCCGGAAGCCCTTGTAGACTGCAGACCGCTTTGTAGCACCCCCCTAACATGCCAAGCACTTGTAGCAGCACCAAAGCCTCTCGACGAAGATTGGCTGAGGCTCCAAGAGTGCAGCTGCCGCCTCGGCTTTGCCTGTCCAGGCCGCCACATGCAGCGCGGCAGCCCCCGTGGATGTCCTCTTGGGGTCTTGGTTGAGGGTTTCTTTTGCATGAGGCTTCTAGGGTTTCGGGGAGTAGGGCGCTAGGGGTTTGAAGCCTCTTGCAGGTTAGGGCTCGTTTCGACTCTCAGAACGCTCTAGGTACTCTTTTCAGACTTGTAGGGCGGAAGCTCGAGGGTGACAGGACGGCTTAGCGTGACATGCTATACGACATACTCTCGTCGAAATCAACACTGGCAACCGGGTAACCGACACTGTAGAGTTAGGATGGAAGTCTTCGTACATTTATTTCAGTACACGGGATCTTCGGCCAAAGCTCCTGGAAAAAGCAACATCTGGAACATACACAGCAGAGGCCTGTCTTTGTCAAAGCCGATCCACGAAGATCTTTGGAATTCTCCATGCCACACGTTTCACAACTATGAACAGATGGAGCTCAGTCGTTGCTGGCTGCGCATGTAGTACATTCAGAACTCGCGGGGTGGCGGAGGGGATGGAACCGCCGTAAACATGGCTTCTTGAGCGTGCAGGCGAAATGCATTCATCTAAATAATATGACGAAGAAGAAAACATCCAAATCAAATGAGATGCCTACAGTGCCCCGCAAGAGGGAACGACGCCCTCCGGTGACGAAGCATTTCAGTCTTGGGTATCCGGCTGTCTTGGCTGTACGGCTATGTCTTGACAGAGGCGTATAAATTTGGGCCGCTGCATCAGTACACAGACACACAAAGACAGAGAGCAGCTGAGGACTTCCCCGGCAGAACCCGGGTCCTTGCTTCCATGTTGGCCTTGTTGGCCACCAGAAGGCGCACGATGTTCTCGTTTCCTCAGTTTTGGGCGCAGAGTCTGATCTGCACCAGAGGCTCCTGGCCTCCAGGGCTTCAGGGCTTCGTCTGCCGTAGAGTCCGTAGAGCATAGAGCATAGGGATGGTGCCTCTAGGCATTCAGCCCAGGAAGGCCCAGCAGAACCAAAGCGCCCCCAGAATCGCCGAGGCTCCCTCTTGGCAGGCGATTGTCAACGGACGATGGCCAGCGCGACCGTTGTAGACGGTCTCGGCCTTTCTTTGGACAGCAAGCTTCTTCAGGTGAGTGCCATTCCACCTGAAGACATCAAACCGCGCCGTTACAAGTTTCAGGCATAAATGTCCAATCACCATCCCCACACAGAAACACAGATACATACAGACTGACTGACAGACAGACCGACAGACATGAATATATCCATAAACATACACAGACATCCACCTCCATCTAGGTGCTTGTTTCACATAATACTTCTCCACCGAAACCCCTGAGGCCAACTGTGCAAACCTGAAAATCCAGGGCAGAGAGCCTCCAGGTCTCCCTTCAAGTCCACCAGGGCCTGCGGCTCATGGCGGTTTACACGCTCGCAACGGAGCCACTGGAAGGCTTTAAACAGCTCGGCACAGGGTTCAATGGTCTCAACACCCTCCTTCGCTTGCTACCAGGAAGGAGTTCCATCGGGTCTCATCGGGACTTGCACTGAAGTGTCAGTGTCCTTGTGACGACCCAAAGCAGACTGCCGAAACGAACAGCCAAAGCTTGAGAACCTCCAAAGGCATGGAGAGACAACACCAAAACCTGAACAGACGATGATCAATGATCAGTACATATGCAAGTTTCAGAAGGAAACTGATCTGGATATGGGGCCCCAAACAAGGGGATCCTCGTTGTGAGGACCCCCCTGGCAACGTGAGTGCTCAAGGTAGCTTTCTGAAACTCTCCGTTGCTGCACTGGTGACTGCTGAAAACTTGGGAAAAGCTTCTACCAGCTTCTACCCACCAAATGCACTTAGAGAAGGTATTTCTAGCTTCCTACGTGGGAACTAGCTTAACCCAAAACGAAGGCCACCTGCGTGATGTCGGGATGGCCACCCATTGCCGCCAGATGTAAAGCCGTGTAGCCACCTCCACAGGCTGCTTCACACCATTATAGCCAAAGTCAAATTATAGTGTAGTGTGATATAGGATGGGATGCTGTCCTGTGGTGTGGTATCGTTCAGTACAGGATAGGATGGGATAGAATGCCATAGTCTGGTATGGAATAGTATCGGCCGCGATCCGCCCGAACACCTCAGCCAATCCCAAGCAGGACGTGTAATGCTGAATGTCGGATGAGGGTGGTACCAGAGCAACGGGATGATACAAGTAGTGATGCCGCGATGCCAATGACTGTTGGCACTGCTGCATTTACCCGCACCTCTCGTTGCTAAGCACGAATGGATCAGGTGATGTCTGCATCATTGCTCCCCTGACCCTCATCCCGACTCCCGACCCTCTGCTCGAAGCTCGACGTTGGCTCGAAGAGCCAGGAGTGCGAGGACGCTGGCCTTCGGATTCCGTGGTGATGGGAGATCGGCTTCGGGCGCAGGGGTGCTGTAGGATGGGTGTTGAGGCTCTTTTTGTCTCTGCAAATTTCCGCAAGACTAGGACTCTGTGAACATGCTGCACGGACGAAGTTTCATCAACATTTCTGCACCGCGACACTACGCCACTACTGCATGGGCTGATGATTGAGAAATCTCAGTACATGCTTTCCTTCTGGGAGGAACCTGTACGACCTGCAAGAGTACCACCATACGATCCACTGTCTGGCGAAAGCCAGCAGACCGTGCTTTTTGCACTGCGACCATGTGGCAATCTGTCCACACTCGACGGCCACTCCCAGGGGAGACCGCGAGTCCTCACGAGGCGAAGGACGGGGCAAATCTCTTGAAAGCGATTGCGGCGTAGGCTCATCTGAGATGTGGCGCCATGCGCGGCAAAGACAGGGAAGGACGGCTTGTGACACAGCACCAGGAGAGTTTTAAGACGTTTAAGAACCGGCACCAAACTGGAGCTTCGCTCAGCAGATCCTGAAGGTTGACCTAAAGTATGTAGCCGCTTGACTGAAGCAACCTGCGCCAGGCCTTGCAATGCCTCTTAAGATCCTCCCTCTCTTTTGGAGCTTGGGGCTGGAGACCCGCCAGGTCCATGGAAACTTCACCCCCGCCTCATCCAAGAGGTTCAGATGCGTGTACTCCGTCCGCTCCAGTACGGCGACCATGGCCGCCACCTCCGAGAGAACAGCTACGACCTTTGACCCCAAGCCATCGTTCTTCTCCGTTACTGCTACTGCTCCATGCTGCCAAACCGTGCCATTGCCAGGCTATTCGAGTGCACACCGTTGGGGAGCCGGCATAAAGAAGCTACTTCAGGTTTCTTGAAACGAATTCATCTTGGGTTTGGGATTTTGGGCCTCAGCGCTGAGTACTCGGATCATGGGTGCTGTGCAGAACCAAGCAACCCAAACAAGCAACAGACTCAGCTGGGGCCCTCGAAAGGGCTGAAGCCGCTCTCCCTCGAATGCAGCCCTGCAACACTGGAAGTACTGCAAAATTTTTCACACTATACTAGCAAGTGGGGGGCAGGATTGGGTTCGACAAGGTTGGGTTCGACTTCATAAGATTAAGCTTGTCATGTGGTAACCTACATTACAATCTTATTCCGATTCAGATCCCAGCTCCCAAAGGCCCCAGGTTAGCCTGTAAGTGCTGTGGGATGATCTCATCATGCCGCCCGTTGCCTTCCAGTTGAACCCAACCTGAAGCCCCAAACTCTCTAGTTCCTTGACAGTTATATTTAAAAAACCTGTGGTTCAATCCCGTATCGTTTGGACTTTAATCTATGCTCTGGTACCACACCCAACAACAGGAAGCGAGATGCCCCAAGATCCACCTTATCCTATACCATACTTTACTAACTTACCAAAGCTCTGCTATGCCACTATGCTGCATTCTTCTATACAACCCAAAGTGGCCCAAAATGTCAAACTTGACTGGCAGCAGCTGTGTGCTTCACCGCTCCTCTAAGCTGGGGGGTTTATCGCTTGATTGCAAGTTATCAATCGAATCCGAAGCCTGCGAACACGCGGCCGCCACGTGCGTCACGGTCCTCCCTCGGATGTTGCGCCAGGTCTGGAGCTCCTCGTGGATCAAACCAAGGCTTTTTTGGGGGGGTTTGGGGTGTCGCAGTTTGGTGGCTGTGCAGCAGGGTGCAGCGTTGATCGGAGCATCAAAAATGGGCATGTCAGGAAAGTAACGAAGTTGGCTTCATGTGGCCTCGAATCTTGAACGCAAGCAGTGATATCCTGGTCCCCACCAATTAATACACGAGGATCCTTCCTGCCAAAAAACCAGGCTTCTCGGTTTCGATCTGAAATGATCCCGACGCGAGGGAGGCTTGGGTTTCAACTCCTGACACGTGTTGGGATGTTAGGGAGGCATGGCATAACGTCTCGACCCTCTGCCGTCACGACCCGCCATGCGCATGACCACAGCTTCCATGCAAACAGGGATCCACAGGCGAGAGGAAGTCGTTGCCCGGTAGGAGAGTTCAGAAGTATCTCGAATCGCCCCTATCACCCTGACGCTTGTTCGAGGCAGCCACAAGTTGTGCTGCCAGTTCTCTAGTCTTCAAAAACTCGTCTGAGACATCACAACAGGTGCGTGGAATGTTCTGTGCCAGTATAAACGTGCACAGGTCTGGCCTCTTCCATCTGATCCGAAGGCTGAACTGCTCAGGCTTGCTTGCGGTATGTTGGATTCCAGTCATGGGGAGGGCAGTCGATAGTCTTACTCTCATGATCCTTTCTCTCAGTTTTACTGGAGATGCCATGCATGCTGCTTGGTATGCAGGCCTGCAGGAAGCATCATAAGACGTACTACAGTTAGTACAGTCATGGTGCCGAAGTCGTTCGGCACATGCAGCACAACATGTCAGACTGTCACGCACAATGAGTCCTCCTTGGAAGAACGGCATATTCGACCCAAGTCTCCTGGAACAGTGAATGGGCATCCGGCTGAATACATAGCAATTACCTGTCGCAGTTTCGACTCCTTTTTAGTCCTGTATAGTTGTACTATCTTCCTTCTTGCTTCTACAGTCCCTGCTTCGCAAACTCACAGCATTCATCCTGAATCCAAGGAACTTCGGTCGGCTGAAGAAGCCCGGGGCCGTCTTTACTGCTTGCAGGCCGGGACCCGGAATCCTGAAGCCCAGAATTCAAACGGCAACCAAACCACCAGAGGACCTGCGACTGCTGCAGCCATGAGCTCTGCTCTTTCCATTGCCTCCCGGCCATGTGGACTTTCAGGCTGAAGCTGTTGAGGATGGAGCACTCACTACCATTGATTTCGCGGGCTTCAGCTACCATCTCAGCTAGGCTCTGGCAAGGCTGACGGCACCGCACCGTCGCCATCCAAAGTTCACAAGCCCGCAAGCTGTTGAGAACGACAAGCACACAGGCTTCCCACTTGGCTGGCACAATCTGCAACAGCTTCGCTCTGACACGTGACATGCCTGTTTGCACCTGTGATCTGTGTCATCATAAAACCCACTGAAAGAAGCTTTAGGCAATCTCAAGCCTTGGGCAGGCAAGACTGCCTTGCTAAGTTACGTGCGCCTTGCAGCACCTTCTGTCTCTTGCCAAGGTTTGTGCCACACCCTTAACCCACACCAGGTCCGGCAACCAAATGCTCGTCTTTGGCTGTAGCCTTTGAAACAGTGCTCCAGACAACTGACAAAGTCATTCCCCTGCGGACCTGGCGTGCAATCATCCGCACGGTGCCTGCATATGGCAAACCGAAGTGGCATGACTACAGCCTGGCAGACCGCTCATGGTTCACCATAACTAGATCAATAACAGTAGTCAGGAAAGCACGAGCATTTCGGTCCACGTTTTGCGGGCTCATCATCGCCCCCATCATCAACATATCATTGCTAGATCTTCATCATCAGAATCGACATCACCGTCACCAGCATCAGCATCGTCATCACCGCTATTATCATCAAAACTACCAGATATCATCCGCATCAACATCAGAGAACACAATTCAGCGTCGTCATAACCAGCACGAGCACCAGCGTCACCAGATCATACCACAGCACCTTAGGATGAACGGCCAAATGTAGTAAACCCCAACACCAATGACTGAAAGGCACAATGAGAAGCCGATGAAGCATTCCAATGATGCTAGCATACGTGTCGTGAGAGTGACTAGATGTGCATGACTATCACCATCTGTGCCAGTTCATCATCAAGACCATCATGGGAATCTTCAGAAAAATCAGAATAAAACAAAACCGGTAACTTAGTGTAGCAGTATGCACAAACCTGTTACCAAGGATTGTCATCGTCTTAGTGACTTAGACTTAGAAATGCTCCCTCGCGTCTGTAATCGCAACGACAAAGCCACTTGTAGGAACGACACTACAAACGGTGTAATTAACGTAGTTCCGAAGAAAGCTCCCAGCAATACTCACTTTCAACAGAGATAACAGCAAACATGCACCAGAACAGACTGCCTAGTAGATTAGTGGTCCTCCACACAGGACCGGAAACGAAGACATGGCTAAACAGAAACTTAAGCGCTGGCATCTGACGATAAGGACCAAGATGATGATGCTGACCAACACTAAAAGGTTTGGGTCACCTTTGGATCGACCTGCGAACACTCATGGAAGCCGTCTGAACCACGAAGGCCACGTTATCAAAATCCGGATGCGCTCTCCGTACGCTTAACCCTACAATCAGCAACCACTCGAACTCCAACGTTAACGTCAGAAGAAATGCGGCTCAGCGGCGATTTAATTCGGTGATGCCTCCCGTCTGGCGTCGAATGTAAGCCAGGATCCTAAGGCAAGGCGGAGTCACCATGGAGATCTGGGTCTGCTTGCGTATTCATGTGTTCACACATTCTCTTGAAAAGTCGGTTCTGGTATGCTATACATAGGAACGGTAGAGTGTAGAGACTGTTACAGTGAAGAAGCCTGGCAATGGCTTTGTGCTGTCCAAGCTGCTTCAGAGACTTCTGGCTAGGCGAAAGAGGCTTGACTCGCTCTCATGTTGGTTGGAACAGAAGCATAGCACGTGTCCTACGGTCCACTACGGCGTCACTACGGTCCGATCACTTCGCGGCAGTTGCACAGCCGAGCAAGGGGTAACGTTCAGTTCTTTTCTGAGACAAGCATTCTGCACAAGCCGAGGCCCCAGCACCAGCTGTCCTACCAGCCGGCGTCAGACCAAGGACGGACAAGGTAAAGGAGGCACAATTAAAGCTTGACGTCCAAGAGCCAGCTGTGAACCGCGCATTGCATTGATAGCTGGGTTTACGGTATGATTAAGAAAAAAAACAACGATCGCCATCGTCATCATCACCATCATCGTCGCCATCAGCAGCATTATCATCACGAATCATCGTCTACGTGATCACCACCAGAATCATCCATCAGCACCATCATCAACATTATCACCGCTTAGCAAACTCCAGCTCAAACATGTGAAGAAAGGCTAAGGCGGCTAAGAGCTGAGAACGAGCGGCTCTTGCTTGTCCTTCTGGTTGGAAGCTTTGCACGCCTCCACATCCACTTTCTCCAGCTTTCGTCCGACTATGTTCCAACAGTCGGTATCTCCGTCGTCAGGAAGGCAGATGTTGTAGTCCTCGCCACATGTGGCGGCTTCAGGTTAGGCCAGGGTTTGGAAAGGTTCAACATCCTGCAGAAGGCTTAAACGCCGTGGGGCCTGAGTTGAAGCCGGCCGTAACGAAGCTTCAAACGTAGATCCCCGACAGCGGGACGGTGTTAGAGGCCGCGGGACGTACTGTATCAGTGAGTGAAACGACTTAGGGATGAGCATGTGCGCATGCATCCATGCGTGTATGCGTGCATGCCATGCACGCATTCAACCACTTTTGTACTAGTTACGAGTATGTATGTCCGTAACTCTCAATGTAACTCTCAGCCCTAGTTGAGCCCGTCGTCTCTCCTTTCGCAGCTCGTGCGCCAAGGCTGCTTCAAACACCACCCAACATCGCTCCAGTGTCTCGGCGGAGTTGTCCTGCTTTATCAGGGCTTGTCTCTGGCAAGAGCCTTATGGAATCAGCCTGACGTCAGTCTGGGCACGTTGTGAAATTCTTGGAGCCCGAGGAAAGTTCAAGGTTCAATGCTCAGAGCACGTAAACGGCCTAATTAAAGCGTCCGACGTTTTGCCGGTTCAGCTCAGGTAGCTACGGCTGCAATGCTCAAGATCGCCCCTGACACATCAGCAGCCACTAAGCTTTTCCATTGTGACATTTTGCGCCTGAAAAACCATGTGCGACAGTCTGGCTTCCCATCGAGCGCCTTCCGTAGTTCTATATGTGAAGAACATGGCCACTGCCGTAATTACCTGTATGCCGCTTGCTGTAAGCTGCCGGAAGAAGGTAGATCACTCTGGGCACATGCCTCTAAGCTTAAGTTAGAGCCCAGGCTAAGCTTCTTCAGAAATCAGCATTTCTGGGGGATGCGGGACTGATACAAGGATGCACACGATACAAACGACACACAAAACGGCGGCAGCAAAGAATTCATCATCCTAGAACCATACCTGACTTGGGAACATCAGCCGATTCTCAGCTGATGTCTCTGGCAGCCGAGTCTCCGTAAGCACGAGTACCCGATGGACCGCGCGCATGCTCACAGCGAAAGGGCAGCGATCCAGTGAAGACAGGCTGGCCGAAACATCGCCGTGCTGCCACCTTACGGATGCTGATAGATTTAGTGGTTTTGGAGCCGTGGGGCTCTGTGGATTTGCTCGTTGTGTCCCTTGCTGTGGCTCTCGCTGCAAGGAAGGTAGGCTCTTTGGTGCAGATCAGTTCTGGGGACTTGCCGCTGCAGGAACCACTCGCAATTGTCTTGGACGAGGCTCATTATGTCCGTACAAAGTCAAGCTCGACTACTTACCTCCAACGTCGTGGTCGTGGCAAGCAATCAAAGTGCTCAGTGACCGCTCTAACTCGCCCAAGACCAACCTGTATCAGAGAGCGCACTTTGTGGTGAATTGGCCATTGGGCCATGAATACTCAGGAACGCCGGAACTTGCCATAATTCCGTACTTTCCAACCGTCATACTTAATCTGACCGACTAAGTCACTACTGTTCGCGGACTGCTGCCTGCTATGGGGTGGGGGGGAAGCCTAGGCCTACGGCGGTAAGGACATTCGGTCTGCAGACGCGTCCTTACGCCGAGTCGCAGCGCAAAGCTGCAGATCCAAACAACAGCCTGCAGGCCAGTTTCGTTCTCCAGAACTTTGGAAGATGTGTCGCTGGCCACTCGCACAACAAAGCATTCACCCACATCCTATATTATACTCAGATACGTTGCCCTGACTCTGACCCACCCCCCGACGTGCCTTTAGCCTCCTATCGGCTGGGCTGACTGCTGCAGCTGTATGGTGTCTCATTCGTGCGCGAGTTCGACGTATCCACATGCCGGATCCGGGATGCTATCATTCAACATCCGCTTTGGGCTGCGCACTCTGTAAGCTTACTGTCGGGTGAGTGAGCTGGCTGAATCCAAACCCAGATTTTGCCTGTGCATCCAGCAGCCGGAACAGCCTTCGCGGCACAAACGGTGTAACAGACCCCAAGACTGGTATGCAAGTAGACTGTGAGGGTCCAGGTGGGGAGCTGATCAGTACGCTCGTTTTCGGGTAGATCCCCACGCCAGCGGTTGCTCTGCCTAGTCAACACCTCCGTTTCCGGTTTGGGTCTAAGGTCGGCCGACCATCTTCTGCTCTGGGGTATACTTTGACTTGGATCTGCTCTGGGCTATTGGTTCCCCAAGCCCTAAACCCTTTTTTCCGAAAGCCTAGGGGAGGCGGCTACTCTCTCCACCTTTGGCAAACAGGCCGCCAGGGACATGGATGCTAAACTTGCCACTGCTATGCAGAAAGAAATCCTGACTGCCTCTATCGAACATAACTATCTATCTATGCGTTCGTCTAGCCATCTGTCTATCTACCTCCCTACGCAATGAAATCAAAACAACCTATCTACTCTATCCAAATTTGAGGACATACGAACTGGATAATGACATCGGACCTGCAACATACAAACTGGATAATGATAATGACATCGGGCCTGCAACATACAAACTGGATAATGACATCGGGGATGCAACCTACAAATTGGATAATAACAAATTGGATCACGACATGATGCACTTCTCGACCCAATTGCAATTGCAGTTCCAGAGCACCTAGATACATGTTTCTTATCGCAGCACGTACTTAGTCTTGATGTGTGTATACATATATATATATATGTGTGTGTGTGTATATGTGTGTGTGTGTGTGTGTTTTTTGTTTTGTGTGTGTGTGCTTGTTTGTTTGTGTGCGGGTGTGTGTGTGTGTGTTTGTTTGTGTGCGGGTGTGGGTGGGTGTGTGTGTGTGTGTATGTATGTATGTATGTATGTATGTATGTATGTATGTATGTATGTATGTATGTATATGTGTGTGTGTGTGTTTGTGTGTGTGCTTGTGTGTTTGTGTGCTTGTGTGTTTGAGTGCTTGTGTGCATATGGATTTGTGGGTTTGTGTGTGCGTGTGTTTGTGTATGCGTGTGTGCGTGTTGCGTGCGTGCGTGCGTG